AACCGCATCCCGCGTTTCCGGGAGCGGCGCCGGCAAGGTTCCGCCGTCCCACCAGGAGGGCGGAAAATCGATATAACCTGGGGCAACGAAAATCGACGTAACCAGAGGCAACAAATATCGACGCAACAAATTCCCCCCCAGGGAGGACCTTGGTCTTCTTCGGAAACGACCCTCCAAAAATAAAGAAAAAAAAAAAAAAGAAGTTCCCTTGTACCTACATCGAGAGAAAAATCCATTCGATCCACAGAAATATTCCTTCAAATACTGCCAAATACCTTATGATTCAAAGAATAATCATTTCACTGAAATAAACGTCAAATAAATTGTCACGACCCGAGTCACATGGTTATTCTTTGAATTAACCGAATATTCTTCCTGGGGACTATTCAAAGAAATAATTCCTTGGTTCAGTGAAAATATATTTCCCAGGGTATAGAACAGCCTAGCGGTACTCCGAAAAAAAAAAAAAAGAAAAGAAAAGAAAGGGGGACAGAAAAACTGAAATCCCGATACGCTCGATTCCGCGGGTCACGAAAGGCCCCCGATTTCCATCCGGATGACAAAACCGGGACAAAATGAAAAGAAAGGAGAGAAAGAAAAAAAAGAGCATAGAAAAAGACAAAGAATAGAGAAAGCGAGGGCGGAATCCCCGAAACGTGGGGGGAGACTTCTTGTCGCCTCCGTAACGAGGTCGGCGTAACGGAATCATGCGCGCGCAGGCTCCGATTACGCATTCGGTATCGTTTCTTATCCCGATGCCCCCCCCTGAACTGTCTCTCCTTAACGGTACGAATCTCACGGTTGGAAAGGCCATCGAAAGCCTGAGACCCCCTCCAGACCGGAAGCGAGCGGACCGCCCTTCCGTCTTTCTTTCCACTATTAGAAAAAAAAAAAAAAAATGCCATCGAACCAAATAAATATTCTGTTAATTCAAAGGATAATTATATAACTCTTGGTAGGTGGGAGAATCACTTTTGCGGTATATTCCGAAGTGAGAAAAATATGTATGTATGCGTATGTAAATTTGATTCATAATGATCTGCCCTACCCACCCCGGGTCCGACACCGGGAGAAGGGTGAATAATTATGATCGTGATTATCAATCGAATATATCCTTCTCTCTCGCCCTGGTAAGGTCGGCCCGATCGGGCGCGACCTCTGGCGCCGATCTCGGCGGCGCGCCAGTCGCGACGCGGCACCGCCGACGGCCCGGGGGCGAGTGGGGGTCGGGCGCATCGGCCCGGCGGAGATATCGCGGCTAGATCGTTACCGAATCGATCGCCGGCCTGCCGCCGCATCTCGCGCTCCTTCGCGGCACCCTCGCTCCGTCTCTCTCGCGCCCCTTACCTGTCCCCTCGCTGCGTCTCGCTCGCGCTCCTTCGCGACGCCCTCGCTCCGTCTCTCTCGCCCTCATGCGCGGTACCCTAGCTCCGTCTCTCTCCCTCGACCGCCCAGCGCGGTCTGCCTCTCCGTCGCGCCGCGCGCGCCCTCGGCCAATCCCGTTACGCGCATATCGATCGCGCAGACGAGCGGCGGACGTCGGGCGAGACGCACCGCGTGGCTCGGCGCTCGGGAGACGAGCGCCGACGGGGCGAGGGTAGAGGGGGATGACGAGAGAATTTTCGAGGAACCTCGAAACCCGTAACCGCTTCCAAAGTACCGGGGACGGGACGGATGACGGATCGCCGTCTAGAGACCCCCTGGTGTCTTTGGAGAGGGGGCATGGAAATGGAAAAGGCCGCTTCGAGGAAGCGGAGCCGAGCCAAGTGGAGCCGCGCCGAGCAACAAAGGCGGAATTGGCGGCCCTTACACCACCTGCGAGCCACTAATTCGGCCCGCTTAGGAATCGCGCCGTTGCGCGCACGAGAGAGAACCGCCGGCCCCGAATTGGCCTCCGGTTCTCCTCTCCCGGCAGATCGGAAATCAGAACCGGAGTGGCGGACCCCGAAACTGCGCCGACGGAGCTAAAATTACTGGCCAGCTCGTGGCCGTCCACGGAAGAAGGACGCGCCGTTGCCACACCGGCCGATCTATATCGCCGAGCGATCCGCGGAAGGGACGGCCGCCGCCATCTTGGAGAACTACGAGTCGACCAGATTAGGGCAAAATCGCGGATAAATGCAAGCCTGGGGGTGACTTTCGACGTCTACGCTCCTGGATTCGGGAATTTTTACATTTATCGTATATTTGTTTTACGGCGAGGGGAGGATCTCGAGGCAGGACGAGGGGAGGCGCGGCCGCCATATTGGAGAACGCAAACCATCCTATCCACCGGAACCCAAAATTAAATACCATTGACGACAAAGCCGCTTACGTCGGTTCATCTAAAAATCCCGAAATCCTAGAAGCGGTGCAAAGACATTTAATCGTTCTACCTTTAGCGCGGACACGCGAAACGGCGGAAGAATGCAAAGTGCCTTGGCCGCCATCTTGGAGAACGCCGACCGAAAGGCAGTTAATAATAAAACGGGCAGGCATTTTCCACCTTTAAACGCAGTAACTTAGATCGCTCGACGGGCGGCCAGAAAATAGGCATGGAGCGACTAATCCGGAAACTCGGGTAAACGGAAGTAAATTCCTCCCGACGCGACGCTTAAATATCCCGAGGAATGGCGGGGCGTCTTCCCGGAAGTTCCGCGTTTAACGAACTCCCCCTGGGAAAGGAAGGGGTTAATTCGAGTATGCCGCGTTCGATACGAAGCTACCTCGGAGTCGCTCGTCAACTTTCGGGTAAGTTCCCATTGCCGGGCGGCGAGGTGTGCAAAACCGCGGACGGGGAGTCCCGAGGGAAAAGACAGCCCGCGGAGGCGGAAGCGGCCGACGCGCGCGCAGATCCTGACGGAAGCGGAAACCGGGCGAAAGTCTTCGAGACGCCGAAGAGAGGGAGGATGCCAAACTGTCCAACCGGGATCAACCGGCGGATGAAAGTGCAGGACGGGAAAATAATAAACAATGCATCGTTAATGGAACGCTGATAACTGGAATTTTTGGGAACATTTATAATTGGAATTTTTGGGAACATTTATAATTGGAATTTTTGGGAACATTTATAATTGGAATTTTTTTCGAACATTGATAATTGGAATTTTTTCGAACATTGATAATTGGAATTTTTCAAACATTGATAATTGGAATTTTTTCGAACATTGATAATTGGAATTTTTGGGAACATTGATAATTGGAATTTTTTCGAACATTGATAATTGAAATTTTTTTCGAACATTGATAATTGGAATTTTTTCGAATATTGATAATTGGAATTTTTTGCAACATTGATAATTGGAATTTTTGGGAACATTGATAATTTCAATTTTTCGAACATTGATAATTTCAATTTTTTCGAACATTGATAATTGGAATTTTTTTTTTCAACATGTGAGACGTGTTTTGTAATTTCGTAACAAAGCTTTGAGCGAGAAAAATTTTCCTTCTTTGTCTCTCTCTTTTTTTTTTCCCCGTTGATATCGAACAGCGATCGGCGACCCCTCTTCGGCGTTCGCGGGCACGTCCTCGGGAGTCGGGTCGTCGAGATGAATTATCTCTTATCGAGCAGAGGGGCCGGACGCGACGTCGCGCAAATCGATAGCGAATGGCTTCCCCTTGACACTTGACTGCGAGCCTGCCAAAAGTCACGCGCCGCGGCGGAGCGACGTCGCGACGTCGGCCGACGTCGCCGTGATTTCTCCGCCGAGGCTTTGAGGGGTACAATGAAATAAAAGGATAAGACCTGGTGGTCTTCGGCCTCTCGACGGTGGCCGAGGTAATAAAGGACGTCTCCTTTGCGCTGACGGATCGTCTGCCCTTCCCGGGAAGACTTCCAAATTTCCCACCATTTTTCATTTACTTCTCTACTTTCGGATGAAAAAAAAAAAAAAGAAAAAGAAAAATTTCTTTTTTTTTTCATCCGAAGCCCTGGTCGCGCATTTTCGGTCCAGAAGGCTCTCGGATGCGTCCGGAGGGAGGGGGGGCCGCTCTCTCTGTCCCGGTGGAAGACTTAAACTCGGAGGTGCTCTCGGGCGTCCCGAGAGCCAAGCAAAGTGGGGTCTTAAGGTGTAAAGAAGTGTCGGAAGTTGAGCCCTCTCTCTCTCGCGTACTTACGCGCCGGGAGGGCCGCACACATCCGGCCTTAACCGGGAACTAAGTCCTCGGAAACGTGTGTACGAACGACCCTCTTATCGGGGATCTTCTTTCTCCGCCAAGACTGCGGAATAATTAAATTTTTCTTTAATTTACTGCACAAGTTGAATTTTTTAGCCGAAAATTAATCCCAACATATCCCGGGATCGCGTTATCGTAGGAGTAATTGGCAAGTGACGTGAGTGCGAGAGAGTCGGAGCGATACGATCCGGGATAGGGGCGAGAGAGAGGTCCGTGTCCGATCCTAGCGGCGACGCGCTCGACCCAGGCAAGTGACGTGGGTGCGAGAGAGTCCGAGCGATACGCTCCGGGATAGGGGCGAGAGAGAGGTCCGTGTCCGATCCTTGCAGCGACGCGCTCGACCCAGGCAAGTGGCACGAGTGCGAGAGAGTCCGAGCGATGCTCTCCCCTATGCGGGCGAGAGAGAGGTCCGCTGCCCGGGCCGTCCGATCCCGGCGGCGATTCGCGCTCCGGGAAATTCTTATTTCCCGGTTGACCGGCGAAATAAAACCAGCCGGCTCGGCCGCAGCAATTTCTCGGTGCGCTGGCCGGACCCTCCACCCTTTCCTCGAGGAGGTTTCACGACCGAATAGTCCCGAGGGAGACGCACGAGCTCCCTGGGAACCGAAAACGACCACCCGATCCCGCTTTACGACTTCCTACGAAACCCCCCTCTCCCGTCCCAATAGATACGTCATTGGTGCATCTTGCATGCACTTCCACCTGCTGCACCCCTTTCAATTCGGCACACCCGGTTCGGAGGGAAAAGTCTCATGAACGAGAACTCCACGACGCCGCTTTCGCGTTACCTCAACATCGGAAATGGTAGGAGAAGGAAAAAGAAAAAGAACAGAGGTACTCACCGGTTCTCTACCGTGCCGACGTTCCCGAAATTCGGGGGGAAACTCGCGGCCGCCATCGGTGGTCGCGGCTCGTCGCTCCCGGCGCCAGTTCCAGATTTCGTCGCGACCCCGTCCTCGCTGTTAACAGAAAACCGCGGGATTTCAGGACACTGTCAAAGGCAGGAGATGCAAAGGGATCCCGCGGACGGGATCTGCATCCCGATTCCCGGTCCTGCAAGGGGCGACCCTCGGGAGAAGGGGGAGTGCCCGAGACACCCCGTCAACCCGGGGAATAAAAGTTAACTTCCACCCCCCGCGTAAACGGGGACGCTCCAAAGGACCGAAAAAACACGCAAATGTTCGCAACAATAAACGCATCGTCCCTCCCCGGGACTTATTTCCACCACCCGGATTTTCCGGCGACCTAAAACGAGGCTCACTTTTCACGTTTACCATTTTTTTTTTTTAATTTTTTTTTCTATTTAAACACATTTTATTTTTTTTCAAGCTAACCCGTTCAAGTACGTCCGCGCCAGGGTGCGAGCATCCACGCGTGATGCAGCTGCACGTGAAACCTCGTATCCTGAAGCGTGAAAAATTGTTGGCAAAAAAATACCGGAAAAAAAAAGAATGAAATAGCAAACAAACAAATCCCCCGGCAAATTTGACGCGACCTGAACGGGAGGAAAATTCTCCCATATTTGGGATTTTCAAGATTAATTATCTCTTCCGCTCTCTCCTTCTCCTTTTTCTTCCCTTTGGTTTTTTTGTTGTTTTTTCCAACTCGCGAAAACCGACCGCGGCGCCTCAACTTTTTCAACCTTCCGCTCTCTCTCGTTTTTTTCCCCCCACTTTTCCTAGGGACTTTCGAGGGCCCTCGGCTAGGGGGATTCTTTTTTTGCGGGGGGAGAGAGAGTCTCCGGGGTTTTCGCTCCGAAAACGTCCGGTGATTTACGTCGCGACGCGGATGCACCTGACGCGTCGTCGTTCGCGGGAGACGTCGCGACGCTCCCCTGGGACTCGACCCTCTCCTCTTCCTGCTCGCCGCTACTCGCTCTACTCGCTTTACTCGCTCTTTTCGCTCTACTCGCGCCGCTACTCCTGGGACGTCGCTCACGCTCGAGGAGCCAAGCAACGAGAAACCCGAGTACTCCTTTCCTCTCCTTTCCTCTCGTTTCTTTTTCCCCTTCGCCCTCTTCGCCCTTTTACGCACAGGAAAGAAAAAAAAAATAAAAAAAAAATGAAATTCGCACTTCTAGCAAAGGAGAATAATTCTGATAAATTTTATCACCTTCCTGGAGGAATGGTTCAACGATAAGCGACTCTGCAATTATTTTTTTCCTCAATTCCACTGCAGGAATAATTAAACTAATGGCAAAATCGTTTGCAATTATATCGATTGTAGGTACCCGCTCGTACCCGTCGAATATAAGTTGTGTCGGTGAATCGATCGAAATATGAGATCTCGACGTCATTTTACTTCTGATCTGGACTGAGTCAATAAATTTTCGTCGAAATTCCATATTTTTATAATGTCGGGATAATTCTTAAAAACTGAAACTTTGACACGTGCTCGCCGAGCCACGTGTCCATACCCTTAAAAAAGTGTCTTATTGGGATCGAGTGATTTGAGGGGGGCATTTCATTTCACCTTAAGCGTAAAACAAGGATTTTTAATTCCCGGCTCCAATTGTCAGGGTGCACTCGCTGGTACCTAGGAATCCCTGGAATGCAAGAAAAATCCCAGTCGCGGACAAATCGATTGTCGCTCGCCGTGCGTCGATGAATAGCCAATCGTAACAATGGGAACCGGTGAATTGGCAACGAGATGCGACAAACGAGACAAAGAGGGTTCTTGGCTCGGAAATCTCGAGCCCCGGGATTACCTGGAGATTACCTGAAAATTGCCTGAAAATCACTAGGAAATTCCTAGGGGAGGAAAAGCTAATTATACATTTTGCCACCCTTCGTGAGAATATCAGGGAACTTCTCGTTTCCTATTTTTCATTCCCTCCATTTTCCCAAATTATTCCCGTCTACGCTGTACGGCCCTGTTGCCCGTTTCGCGTAATGAAAATGGCCCCGATTGACCCGCGAAAGGAGTAATTAGCCGGCTAAGTAACGAGAAACACCAGCGGACCTTTAAAAAGTCGACCGGAAATTTATACCACCTTGGAATTAAATGCCAAAAAGGGAAACGAAAGATTCACGGGTGAAAACAAACCACCGGATGTTTCTAGCAGCTTGGGAGGGAAAAAGTGAAAAAGTGAAAAAGTGAAAAAGTGAAAAAGTGAAAAAGTGAAAAAGTGAAAAAGTGAAAAAGTGAAAAAGTGAAAAGAAAAAGTGAAAAAGTGAAAAAGTGAAAAAGTGAAAAAGTGAAAAAGTGAAAAAGTGAAAAAGTGAAAAAGTGAAAAAGTGAAAATGCGAAAAAGTGAAAATGCGAAAATGCGAAAAAGCGAAAAAACGAAAAAGTGAAAAAGCGATAAAATTGCATAAATTTTAATTCGGAGGAAATTCGGGAAACTCCGAATTTCCTCCGAGGTGTATCGATGTTTCTTATCACTCTCGAGAGGTAAATGGGTATCACTGGCAAGTTTACCGACGTCGACGACGTCGTCGATGTCAACTTCGTTAACGGGGGTGTCGAAACTGACAGGGACGCGTCGCGACGCCTCGAGGAAACGGCGCGGCTCATTTCGACGAGGAACACTCGACTCGATATCGAAATGACAGAGGGGGGGGGAGCAGCCATCGATCTCGAATCGCTCATCGATCGAGTAAAGTGCCACTCGAAACGACGGCCGATTCAGTTCGACACGTCAATCGACTCGATAACCCCGTGTGTAACAATGGTCGCTCTTATCAATTTCTAGCCGGGAGTTCGTAAACGCCCCTAAAAAAATCTAAACGATCGGCCGACGACAAACTTCGCGCCGCTTCGACTAATAAATGATAATAATTAATTCCTCCTCGTAAATTCGAAATTTCCCCCCCACCCGATGAATCGCGGAGATACAAACGTGGATTAGAAATTCGATCGATAGGACAGTGTTAACCCTTATCACTCCAACCGTCAGTAATACCGGCAACTTATACTCTTCTAATATCCTTGGAGGTGATAAGGGCTAAAACTGTCGGTTGAAATGTCGGTGCAACAATAATCCATTCCCTTTGTCGATTTACACGGGAATTCGAAAATACCGATGGGGAAGTCGCGATAAATCGAGGAAACGCCCGGAAACGAGAAGTAGTAAAATGTCTCCTCTATAAACCTGGCCTGGAAAATCTGCATTTCGGGGCATTTTAGGGGTAGTCAAAATTCCGCCCGAAATAATGCTTCCGCTTATCGTTCGATCGGCCATACGAAGGGGAAGCACAAAAACGAATGCAAGAATAATCGCTACATCGGTCTCTGTTATCGATTTTTCTTCTCCAATAGAAATTCCGCTCCGCGACAATCGCGGAAATCATATAAAGTGGACAAAAACGTGGATTAGAAATTCAGTGCATTAGGTGGAGGTAGCAAAGTCGTAGAAAATCGTAGAAAGGAAACTAGGAGTAAAAAAAGAAAAAAAAAAACATTTCCAGTATGACTGCGATCTAAACATCCGAATTTTTATGCATTTCATTGCATTTCATTGCATTTCGGGAATAGTCGAAACGCGGCTGGGAATAATGCCGCGTCCCTAGGGACCTCGTCGAGGGGAGTCCGGGCGTCCCGTGGGAACGGCGTCTTCTGGGTCCCCTCCCCCGAGAGGAAGCGGGCACGGGTATCCGGGTTCCCGGATTTCCGGACTTCCGGTTGCGGTTTCGCCCCGGAGCCGCGATTTACAGAGGGTCGAATTCCGCATCCCTCTCCCAGGGGACCTTCATTTCCCGCAAATTATTGCAAAAAAAAAAAATAAATCTCAAAACCACAAAATAAAAGTTATACGGATAAATAAATATCTAAAAGAACGAGTAGCATGACACGTATAACAATAAATAAAATATAGATAAATGGAATAAACATAGCTGGAGTTTCGCGCGCCTCGGGAATTCATTTTCAAAATTGATAATCGATAATCGGGATAATTTTCCGCGAGGTGGAGTCAAAAGACCCGAGGGGCCGTTCCGCGGGCAATTTTCCCGTTTCCGTTTCCTCCCCCGACAGGAATCGACATTTCCGGGGGAAATCAGGAACGACCTCGTCAGGGGGGTCCCGGGGGACGCGGTCTCCCGTTATCAATCCCCCGACCTCTGATAAGGGGAGGGCCTTCCTTCCAAGACTACTGGAAAAGCTCTCGGGTTAAATCGAGGGAAAACGGGGAAATTAGAGACTCGCCTTATCGGCGATGATAAGCGGATAATTAAAAATCAAAAAGGGAGGACCAATAATTATGAAAATTGAGAGGAAATCATGCTCGACCGTGGAAGTCGCGTTCCGCGTCCGGAAAAACTCGTCGGGGGATGGGGGTGGGGCAGGCCCCCTGGAATGCCCCTCTTGTGCCCCCCGCCTGTCGAACAATGGGAACGAGCCTAGTGCAATCGATTGACATAGATTCCCCTTCGGGCGAGACCCTTTTTCCCTCCCAGTCTTCTCGTCGCGGCCCGAAATCAAATTTCACTTCCTGTATTCCCGGAAAGGGTGAAAAAAAAAAAGAAAAAAGAATTCCACTCTTCCGGCTATTGTTCGAACATCACGAATTTCACGTAGACTCGGGAGTTCCGGTAACGAGACCTTATATCCATAAAGTCCGTGATGAAAAAAAAATCTCTGAAGACAATTATTCAATAAAACGCGCCGTCAATTTCTGGTGACATTTTTTTTTTTATATAAGGAACATCCGGGGAATGTCCGGATAGAGCCGCACCGCGACATCCGGATCGAGGTTCCAGATGCACCGAGACCTGCACTATGGATCGCTGCAGTCATCGGGTCGGAAAAGGGAGAGAGAGAGAGAAAAAAAAGTGAAAAAAGTGGGAGGAAAGAAGTCGGAGGAGGGGGCTCGCGGATCGGCCCCACTCCCACGGATTAGACGTCGAATGTAAACTCGGCCATTTCCTCCTTCTTGGCAGACCAATTACTTTACGAGCGGTCGTCTTCTTTTTCGGGGGTACCGTGCCAAGTCGCCCATCCGGCCGTCGCTCGAGCGCGC